GATTCGAGTCCTTGGTTGCTCATATGATGGTCACTGGAGGCTTACATGGTCGTTAACTTCAGGGCCCGTGGGATTAGTCGTGGTGCGCGCAAGCTGGCCCGGACATCCACGTTAATCTAAAAAAAAAAAGAATAACTTGGGATTTGGTTTTACTTTCTAATAATTACGAGTTCGAGTCCTTTCAATATTAATTGAGTTGTGCAATTTTCAGTATTAATTGAGTTGTGTACAAGTTAATCTGAATATCCATGTTAATTACAAAAAAAAATTTCTCAATCTTGAGTAATTATAATTAATGAAATGAGAACAGCAAAATAGTAATCATTTTACCTTGAACTAGTTTACATATAGATAAGAATATTAATTGTTCAATACTATATAAAAAAGAAGAAGTTGAAATTAATTATAAATAGTATGATCAATTATGAAGTTTATGATTGATTAAAGATGATTAAAAATGAAAAAAAAATAGAACAATGATCGTTTATATAAATAAAGTCCACATAATCAACCCATATGAAACAATAGATTATGAAGGAAAGTTCACGTGATCGACAAGAATATTCAAGGGTATGTAGAACATGAATCGGCAATGTCTAAATCTAGTTAAGGTTATGTAACTATGACCAAATCCTAAGGCATTCTAAAGGCATAAGCACTCCAACATGGGTATTTGAAATTATCAGGCCTTATACAATGATACATGTGCCAATGTATCATACACAATAACAACTAAACTTAGGCATGATAGCTCATAATATGCCAATTTCCTCTCTTTTATATATATATATATATATATATATATATATATATATATATATATATATATATATATATATATATATATATATATATAACCACAAGTTAATTATATGGCTCCATAACTCTATTATCTAGTGCAACAACTTGTTACTAAGTAGTTTAATGCCTATTATATTTTTTCATAGCAAGTAAACCTTAATCTCATTCCATAACAGACCCTAACTAGTGATAAACAAGCGAGGAGATGAATAGATGTAATTGAATAAAGAATCCAAAGGAGATGGAGTTAGTAATTAGTTGAATAGTAATATCTGTATACACTCATCCATAGTTGACATATTGCATCTAATTTCTAGAGATATAAATATTGTAAAATACAAATAATTTTAAGAAAAAATAATCTACCATGAAAATATTATCAAATTCACAAACTAATATGATAATATTGTAGTGAACCCCTTCATAAAGTTAAGGTTATTTGGTTTGTACCGACTAAAATAGCTTTTCATTAGTTTTTTATATTACCACCCAACTTTATCAACAATAAATAAGAGATGAAGATTTGCTTCTATGAGTATTTTTACATAACAAAACTAGAGGTAAATGTATGAGTGCATTAAAATAATTTTGAATGGGATATTGCAATGGAGCATAAGAAAATGGTTTATAAAAACCAAATACTTAAATATCTGCATCCTAATAAATGATGTTGGAAGATGAGAAAATGAGTAAAGAGTAAGCCAATCATAAAAATATACCTAGTTGGCTATTTATACAATGTTATGATTACTCTTTCCTTGACTAATTCATTCTCCAATAAGGAACTTGGAAAAAGGCTAATAATAACTCATATCAATTTTAAGAGTAAAAGAAAGAAAATCGTTTTTGCATCATTAAAAAATGCTAGATAAACTATTTAATCTATTAGAAATGAAACAAATTCTATCAGAGTGGTTAAAAAAAATAAAGATTAATCTTTTCACTACAAAACCATTAATAAAATCTTTGACCAATTGATATATAAGATATAAATTAAGTTCCTTGATAATCATTTCATCCCCACCACCAACCAAATTAAAGGGAAGAAGTATTGCAAATGATATGACTCATAGAGATATAACATTAATTATTGTGTTGTTTTTAAAAACCATACTTATAAGGCATTAAAAACTGGTCATTCACTTTTGATACAAAAAGATTAAAGTGGATAACAATTTATTCCTCAAGACAACAATAATATTAGCTACTCTTAAGCCAAAAAAATCTTTGATAAGTATGAACCATAAAAGGTAAAACCTAATAAATCATAACAAAGTTTATAATCAGTCATAGATTTTAGTATTGAGAAAATAATATATAAATTATGGTAAATCCAAATAGGTGGTTTGGTAAACCTATAATATGCCTTATAATGAGGTTTATAAAGGTAGTACTTGCCATACAATTCTTCTAATGGTAAAGACTTGAGGGAAAAGGTTGAACAAGTAGTAACTCATTGATAAGCTAACACATTTAAGCTTAAAAAACCAATTCACAATTACTAGTATAAACACTAGCCATAATAAAAATAATCTAAACCATGTAATAAGGATGGTGATGATCCTATTAGCAATTATATAAATATTTTAGATAAAAAATAAAAACAAGAAAAACTATCAAAATTTAGAAGAATGCAATGCTCAAACACTTTGGCAAAGCGTTGATGCATAATTATACACCTTACCAATAAAAAATATTGTAGATGTTAAACAAACTAATAAAGTGGTCAATAATAATAACCTCAAGTATTAATCTTGTTACAAATAAGAGGCACATAATATTGATCCGTTCTAGATATGTTTGCTCCTACTTTTGTACAAACTAATGACCATGATCAATAATGATTTTCTACTGTAATCAGAATATTTTGGTATAAAAAGTAGAAAGAAGTTTTACTCCTAAACTATATCTTTTGTATAAAAAAAAAAAAAAAAGTTTTTACTTCTACTTCATATTTATCTTAGAAGGTTGTAATAAACTATAACTTACCAAGCATATAGATTACTAAAGATAAATATATCTTTAGAAAGCTAGATAAGACTATTGCTAAGATAATTAAAAAGTCTATGAAAAATAATGGTTTTGAAGATGAAAAACAAAGAGTAGACCTAATGTCAAGATAAGACTAGATTTACCTAACATTAAACAACAATAAGATAAGCTATCTAAATTAATAGGCCAACACCTAAAAAGTTTGAAAAAAGGAAACAAACATTATAAAACTAGTTTAAGTCTTTGTTAGTCTTACAACTGAAAATACATGTGACATCATCTAGTTAGGAAAAGCAAAATGAAGATGTTACTTTAACAACTACCATAATAAGAGAAAATTTTTTTTGCTATTATAAAAAAAAATTATGAAAAATAATAGGAAAAACAATTATGTCTAAAGTTTAAAATAACGTAATCTTATAAAAGGTAAAATGGCTTTAACATATGCCTTCATCCAAACAAAAGAATAACTCAAAGAAGAGAATGACATGATTATCAATGTTAATGATTTATTAAATGATTTGTTAAAAGATAGAATTAATATCTTTTTTATTATAATATACAATAAAAAGAGGAAAAAAATTTTAATTTTTCAATTTTGATGTATTAATTAGAAAAAAAAAACTACAATTAATGAAACAAATATGAAATTCTTCTAATATATAAAAGAAAAACCATGAAGAAACCATATCCATGAATATGGTATTTTATTTTTCTTATTTAATTAAAGTCAAAATTGATCACCTATCATATTTAGATATTGATTTTCAAGATAGTATTGAGAAAAAAAAAACAGATTGTTTAAATTGACCAATCATAACTTGTTGTCAATCAACAAAAAAATCTTATATTTAGTAAGTCAACATAAACTATGAGTCATAATTTAAAACCTCTATATCTTATAATAAATTTTAATGGTATACTAGTATAAAGAGTTTTCATCTACGAGGATGTAGTATTAAAAATTATATCACTAACTCTAATTAATAAAATTGGTTATAACAAGGCTCCTATGATTCTATCTAAAAAGATGATGTTAATTTTATGAGTAATATAAAAAAGACCATATGAGCATTATAGATATATCTAATTATTAGGTCTGTTACATTAAATATTTTTTTATAGTACAAATAAAGATAAGTTATAATACATTGGTTGGATAATATGAGATATTTATTAATATTTTTGTGGTGTTAGTTTTTTCATTAAGATTTTATATTTTGGTTATCAATTAGAATAGCTAAAATATTTCAAGAAAATAATATATTATTTATGATCAATTTAATGATAGAAGATGCATGAATGTATAGCAATAATGTAAGCACACTTTAATTCACAAGCACGAATAATATTGGTTTTTTTAATGATTGTTTTGTAAGAAAAAAAGACAATAAGTACAAGGGGACAAATAACTGAATTTATTAAGCTATTTAACTTGTAATTTAAAGGTAATGATAAAGAATTTAAATCATAACAATAGATGAGTTATTATAATTTAATCACTTGTTTCGAGGCTTTTTATAAAACCTGTAGATATGTTAGACATCATAATAAAATATATTCAATAAAACTATATTAAAATTAAATATGAATGATAGATATGTTAAAAGTTCAAGATCCACTAATTAAAGTAAACTTGGGAGATTATAATAAGAGTGTACCAATTTTTACATGGGCCAATATGCTAGAAGAGTTTCAGAATAATATAGTATCACTGCTACATGTTTATAAACACTATTTTTCCTATGATTATGGTTAATTGCTTGGTTTAGACCAAAGTTCGTCCAAACATTCTTTACCAATCAAGCCTAAAGCCAAGAAGAATGTCTTCAAATGTGATTAATTATATGAAGGAGAAAATCGAATGACTCCTAAAATATTGATTTAAATTCTGTAATTATATGGATGCATAGTTGCAAGGAACACAAGTTGTCTCTAGTGTAAGGTTAGTCAAATCTCCTAACACAATGGTCCACGTTTGCCAGCACAAGGGTTTGACACCCACATCTTTTTACGAACAAGTACTATTGAAGATAAGGGAAGGTATTTTCCAAATTAGAGAAGGTAATGATTTTGTATTTTTATTTATTGAGTTTTGCTAAATTAACATGATTTCTCGCGAAAGGAGTTTGAATACGAGATTTACACTTTGAGACAAGGTGCTGCTCTACCCAATTAAGCCATACACATTTCATCTACCCCCGTGTCGTTGCTGCCCTTACAGCAAGCATAAACGTAACAACAAACAAGCTTAGGCCTAAAACTCCAATAAATTCTTCTTTATTTCAAGATTTTCTTTTTCTCCCATAGAAAACAAAGCTCAGAATGCCCCACGAGCACAAAACTCAGCCTGAACCTGCCTGTCTAGACCAACAAATCTTTTTATTGTCCTCCAGATGCTAATCAATTCCTTGTAACTTGAGAAAAAACTATGCTCAGCCTTTGGTATAAGATCATTCGCTTGGGAATCAAAGGCATTAGGCTAGTGGCATATATATATATATATATATTGCACGTTTATAAATCGGACATTATGCTTCATTCCTATGTTTAAGATAGATGTTGCAGTTTTCATGAAAGTTGAAGACAGTTTAGTACGGCTTGGGCGATTATTTCAAGCCATTTAGCTCCGTATATTGAAAGCAGGACGGTTCAACCACGGATCATTATCTGCAAAATTTTGTAGTTCTTGGTATCAGAAATGCGACAATTACTGTTACAAGTATGAAGTAACTGTTTGAAAATGCTCCCATTAATTACCATGTAACCTTCACATGCATCTGGCCAGGGCCAATTTAATTTATATCTCCAATACTATATCTGCAGTTGAATATCAAGTGTTAGTCGTCGAGATCATATCAGTACAGATGGTTCTTATGCATACTAATCCGAACTTACATTCAGAATCTGTCTTCACCCATTTACTTCCTTCATCAGCCCTCTCATTTATTCCATCCCCATCGGCAGACTTCGGCTTCTGTTTGTTCTCCAAATATTTTTTCGTTGATGATTTTGGACTCGGATTTTGTGGATATATCTTCTTGTGAAGTATTGCCCTCAATAGCTTTCATTCAGATATAAATTAGAAGAAAGAAACTGTATTAGAAATCCCTTTTTTCCCCCACTATAAGCAACCAAAAAAAAAAAGTAATATGCATTATTAGCATCTACCTTTTCCATTCTGGACTCTGGGACTTGATTCTTTAAACTAGGGGTAGGAGAGAATCCACCGCCACAAATGAACATCTTCTTTAGAAGAAAAGACAAGGACTTTTTGTTAATTGCTGCACTGGTGTCTGCCCATATATCTTTCCTTCTGCTGGTAACAACCTCGTTGTTAGCCTGAACACAGCAATCTTTGTTGTTTGACTCGTCAGAACAGCCGTCAAAATTTGTACTGTCATCTTGCACGCTTTTTTGGCTATTGAAAAAATTAGCAGTTTCTGATTCTGCTCCATCAGTTGATCCACCTTGTTTATGCAATAAGATGCTCAGCTCATTTTGTAGTTTTCCAACTTCTTCAGGTGTAAGTTCTTGGGGAAGATTTTGGGAGAAATGGTTATGCTTAAATTCTTCTTTGATGGATTTATTTCCAAACGTCCCAATTGCCAGCAATTCATTAGGCCAGTCAATGAATTCTTCTTTACGAGATTCTTGCCGAATGTGATCTATACAAGGAGCAGAAGTTACATTAATAATAATAATCTAAGAAATACATTTCACACATACTGATCATAAGTTCATAGAACGGAATGACTCTGCTAATAGCTTGCTGATCTATGATTGTCACTTCCTGACAATTAAAGACCAAAGAAGGATCAAAATGTTAATTAAGACTAAGCAGCCTTTTACCGAGTATAAATGGGCCCATCTCTCTTGTAACCAGCCTATGAATATGATAACCTCTTGATAGTTTGAATCACTATGGCTGTTATTAGTCATTTTAAGAAGTCTAAATCCAGGCATTAACAGAAACATACAAGAAAACGAATAAATAAATAAATAAATATAGCAGGCAACACAATGCTTACAATCAACAGAAATGGAGTTTGGTTTCTTGCTGTCATGTCTCCTATAGAGTTTGTTTTGCATCCAAACGACTATCTGCAATTGTAAGGGCACATAATTATCCTCAGTAAGCGTCAAGTTAACTTCCCTGTGATGAAAAATGCAGAGATAATCAAGACATTGATTCACTCCTGTAGCTTTATTCCTACCTTCATTTGGTGAGCGAGTGTTGACAACTCTTCAATATGACTAGAGAAGGATGGAGCGCAGTTGGGGCTTACAGGAACCAAGTGTTCTTGCGTCTTATATATATATATATATATATACACAGATCCCATAAGCCAGTGAGAACTTAGCTGCATTGAATTATATAGAGTTTGAAGCTTTGATAAATTCCATGGACAAGCTAGTACGTGCCAATGCCACTGGTTCAAGTTCCCAAAATACTTGACTTTCCGCCTGTTCTCAATCTCTCACTTATCTATTTGTATTGCTCGAACTACTATACAGTCTTTTTCCTTTCAATTTACTGCGTTTTCTAGTTTTCTTATTAAGCATTTTGTATAATACAATACCCCCCTCTCTACCATTTCATTTCATAAATCTATATTTGCGTTGAATTTAATCTTGAGCATCGGTAAAACTACTCGAAACTACTGCTGCCTCATAAATTAATGAATATTACATTATATTATATTACAAAATATACTAAAAGGGACAGGAAAATCATTGTAGCAATAATAACAAAGAGTGTTTTTTTAATTTCATTTTCAAATTTTATTTTTAATTACAGCCTTCTATGATTAATTGATGATCAATTTCTAAAAAAATGTTACGAATAGGAAAAGAAATAATTCAACAAAAAAGTAATAAAGTGTAAAATAAAAAGAAATTACATGACTAATCTAAAATTCATACGAAAAAAATACTATTTAACCACCTATTTTCTTTTTTTTTTACAATCCTTATAATTATTTAAATTTTAGTTTTAGTTTAAAAAGTTTTATTTACTTTTCAATCATTGAGTATGAGAAAGAAAAGAAAAAATTTTCAAGCATCACTAAAAATGATAAAGTTGTTATTCGCCTAATTTCCTACAATAAAAAGGTTTAATTTTGATATTAATAGATTCTATTTAATAAAAAAAAATTTATTGAAATATTTTTAAACTTTAAACTTTATGAAAAAAAATAAAACAGAGATGTTTTTTATTTTCTTTTATTTTTTAGACAAAATCAAAATTGTTTTAGGTTGAAAAATAAATAAATTATTGAGATGGCAAGAATATTTTTTTTAGTTGTTTTTGGATGAAATTAAATAGAAAAATAGTATTTTTAGTGCAAAAAACCTAGTTATGATTTCTCAATCATCTCTCCGATAGAAAAAAATATGGAACGACATGGGACATGTCATCAACTGTTTATTTTTTACATATAAATAAAGTACATTAATAAAATAAAACAATAAAGGGAAAGGCCAGCCTCCTAGACCTCGCCTTGCAAGCTTAGGCCTAGCCCCTTATTCTGATTTTTTTTTCATTAGCACTAAAAAATTAATATTATTATTCAATTTATCCATGATTCTAAAATAATATTATAGGTCTTTATAGGAATGTTAATATTTTTTGATTATTATGTGCCTAATATAAAAAAAAAGTCTTATGAGTATTCAATTAAAATAGAGTTTAAGTTGTTTTAATTTTTTAATTTTTAATATGTTTTAAAGTTCCCGTGTATTATATTTATAATTTTTAATATGTATTTATGATAATAATGAAAATATTTTTTAAAAAAATTCTTTTATGATTATCATAATAGTTTTGCTTCAGTGATAATAATGAAAAAAATTTTAATTTTTTTTTTTTTATGATTATCATAATAGTTTTGCTTCAACAGAAAAATATTCAGATAAAGAAATTGTTAAAAAAACAAATCACATTAATAAGGTAAAAAAGGTTTTAATTAAAGTTATCCCTTTTTTATAATCATTTCAAGTTTTTTGAATATTTATTCTAATCACCTTTGTTTTTTAATAATGAAACATATTACTTTAAAAAAATATTATTTTTTGGCTGAGAAATATAGATTAATAATAAAATAAAGGATTATACTAGTAAATTATTTTATTTTAATAGAATTTAAATTATTATTATTATAAAAAAATTATTGACATATAGAAGATATCCCCTTTTTTTTTATAAAAGGATTATTTACATGAGATATCTTAATCATCATCAAGCTCTCAACTTTTCAATTTAATTTCACTTGCATCAACATCTATCTCTATCATTTATTTATATGTATAATTCGGTTTATATGATTAAACAAATGTGTCAACTATTTGATTCACAATAAAAAAATTCCTTGAAGTTGCAACGATGCTACAATTACCTCTAATCAAGCAAAATAAGGATTTTAGGCCTTAAACCCTTAACAAAGCTAATCTATTCTAAAAGCACAATCATGTAAAGAAAATGTATGAGTTTTAATAGAGAAGTAGTTTGCTTGAAATTTAAGTATAGATAAATAAATCAAGCAATAAATAAAAGCAATAAATTAAATAAAACCCTTATTGAAATAGTAGATAAAATTATTAGAATTTGAATATGTAGGGCTAGTCATCCTTTAAAGTAGCATCTAACCCTATTTATATTGATATAGAGTTCGAATTCTGAATAAATAGATAATCTTAATTTTATACAAATATTAATACAAGACAAATAGACTTCTCATAAAAGTTAAATTTATTTTCTATTAATACATATGTGAATCCTAGTCCAATCTTTTATTTTTGTTTAGTTATTTTATTGGTGACTCATATTCTGAATAGGACTTTATCTTTTTAGTTATGTACATATTCAAATTATATTGGCAAGTCACTTTATTTTGATTAATAATGATTTCTGGTCCTTTGATCAAGTGGTCAAATGCTTATTAAACTCTCTTGGTTGATTAAAGAAACCTCTATTCAGTTAACTCTTCTGGTTCATTATCAATTTTCTATCATTTTTGTTCTTTTATCATATTTATGTTCTTATTTTGTTTATTTATTTTCTTTCTTTCATTTTATTTAGTTAAGTTTATTATGTCAAGGTGAAAATATTACACTAATGGTGTAAGAATAAGTATAGTGTAAACTCAACATGGACCTTAATATTTGATACTAACATGTTTTGTATTTGTTATCTTATTCACTCTTTAATATTTGCTTGTTAAATAACTAATCTAGATTTATTTATATAACACTTGGTACAATAAATTTTTGGTAATGTCACAAAGCACAAGTGAATAATGGCAATCAACATCACTAGTGACATCAAGACCTCGATTTCTATAAAGCCTCTTTAAGAATGCCACTTATACCCTCCATAGCCAAAAAAGAAGTAACGATAAAAAAGATCACCCTTCTAAAAACTCCTAGAAGATGGGAAGAAATTGTGACTCTCCTCATTCATAGCTATTAAGAAATGAGTTGTAGACATTCATACCTTAATCTATCTAACTTTGAAACTAAAGACTCCAATAGCCCTTAAGAATGATAAATTCCAAACTAACCATATCAAAAATTTTCCTTGTGTATATTTTAAAAGCACATCTAAGAATAGGACAACTTTAGTGATAGTTATACGTGAGCTTTTGATTTGAAAGCTGCAACTTATACGTGAGCTTTTGATTTGAAAGCTGCTAGAGGCTGATACAAAAAGTAATTTTTTTTCCAAAAAAGTTGGAATCTAATCTCCACTATTAAAAAAAAAGGACATTTAGTTGAACTCTTTAAGAAAAATAGAGATGATCCAATGGTGAAACAAGACAAACCAAGTTGGCGGTTACACCATCCCAAAACCTAATTTGCAATGACATTATCTCTAAAACGACACTAGATAAACCAAATCTAGTTAATGAGGTTGTACAATAGGTAAGGCACATAACATAATTCAATGATGTACAATAGGTAAGGCACATAACATAATTGAATTAAATCTCTCTAGTTTTTCCCTCCACTTATCTTTCTAGAATCATTATCCATATAAGTCTACTAGTTATATATGGCTTCAAAATATTATGAAAAATTAAATATCATATTAGTTGATGTGACTTTTTCATAGTCACTCATTTCTACTTCAAAAGGTTTTTCTAGTTCCTTTTTTTTCATTGTACTTTATTTACATATATATTATATTAAGACTAAGAACTTTAGTTATTCTTCTTTCTTTTATTATCTATTATCATTCTAAAAAGCTCATCCATCATACCATCATTTAAGAATCCATCTACATAAATAATTATATCATTTTCATAATCTGGATAGTCTTCTATTTATATAAGGGTAGGTGTTAAAGCATTTTTATATATTACTAGCTCATTTAGGGTTTAGATATTTTTGTTGTCCTTAAGCACTATCAATATTATCTCTTATATAACCAGTGTTATTTTATCCTTTATTGGAGTAGCTTTCTTGGTAATATTTTTTTATTGTTTTTGCTTAAGAACTAATGTCATTTTTTGCTTTTATTTTACAATAAACAATAACTTAGGTCATTGCTATAGTTCTTATCTTTTATTTTCAAGCTCCCGGTTGTTGACCTAGAATTTTGAATAATTTTTTCCTTGTGATTGTTGGTTAATCTTTGTCTATATCTTAGCAGTATATATTACTTTTTTAATTTGTGTCTAACTATTTTTTATAGTTTTTTTTTCATTAAATTAGTGATAACTTTGTCTACTTTTCTAGATAATTCTTATATTTTTATGGATTATTTTGTATTACAACATCTTAAAATGATGGTGGTGTAGAGATAAGAGCCTTTTTCATACTTTTTACGAAGGTTTATGGCTGCTTAGTGATTCTATCTTTAATAAGGGTCATCCTTTCTAGATTATTATTATTTTGCATATAAATAGGTGAGATCCTATCTAGTATTGATTTCTATGGTACACCTTTCATAAATAACATAATTGACATTTAAGATTGTTTCATTTCAGCTAATTCGCTAGTTTGTGCAATATTTTAGGACTATTTTCTAGGAAAGTATATGATTATGCTTCTTTTCCCCTTACTAAAGTGTCTAGGTGTTGTATTATCCTAAATTGGGCGTTTCCTTTATTCCCATCACTCTCTAAATTTATAAGATACTGGTGATGCTTGACAGGATCATCATTCTTTTTATCACTAGGCTTGAAGGATTTTTATTATGATTGGTGATTATACTATTTATTTTCATATGGCTTTATAGGCTTAAATGTTTTGGCCTATGACAAGACATT